CGATTAGCGAATAGGTTCACTATCAACGCCACTGCCCACAGTAGGAAACCGGGATTTTTTTTTAAAGAAGATGTTACAGAGTTATAGCTATAAGCTCCTCAGAGTTCGTGTGTGATCACTGACAGGATATCTATGCTGGCGCCTAACACGGCCTGTTTCCCATGTTTCGAAATACGGCCCATTTCATTATATTTCTCCTCTTTAATGAACATTTGCCAATGTCTGGTGCTTATCACATTTCTAAAAACAGCCACCACTCGTTAAAAATAATACAGCTGAGCGACTGAAATAGTTTCGATTGTAACAACATTGAAATAATAGAGGATTGTCCCCACATGCTAGTACATCCGGAAGGAGCTTTCGAGGCTTTTACTTTTTCGAAACAAAAAATTAGTGGTTCCTCAGTGGTTCAATGGTTTAGTGCTTCTACAACTCCTGCTACGAATTCAGCAGACTCCTTCTCTGAAGTGGACCCAGGGTACAGCATGGGGATGAGCGAAATGACGGTGTGAGTACGACCCCACCCCTCGAAGAGGGTCCAGTTACGACCCCCGCCCTTCCCCCCCCCCCTCCCTCCTGCTCTAACTGACAACCAGATGCATGTTCACACCAAATGGCTTCCTGAAATGGAATCTGGATTTTCGAAAGGCGGACTCTGCTCTAAAATCCAGGCAATAAGAGGCTGTTTCAGCCTCATGCAATATGAGGCTGAACAACAGCCTCGCATTACCTACAATTTTGTCTTAGGATTCAAAATAAAACTCGTCGTTCGACAACCATGTATGACATGCAACTTGTAACAAGGAACACAATCGAAACAGCGACTAATCATTGATAAGCTAAATTGGTGAAAAAATAGCCCCAAGGTCAGCGTGTCAGGCCCCAGATGTGCATTCAATGAATGGTGACGGGGAAATCATGAAAACATGCACGACACAACAAAGCGAAACATGAAAAATACAAAAAATGCGGAGCCAAATGAAAAAATGGATAACCAGGCGGCAGTATATCGTTCTATACTTGGCTATTATCGATCGCAACGTTGCTTTCATTGGAAAAACGTCATTGGAGCGCGGTTGTTGGGCCTGCCAACGTCCTGGGGTCTTTTCGGGGGTTATATCTCTTTGAGGGGCGCGGCTTTTGATGAATGGTTAGCAGCATGCAACGGGAATGTTCCTACTGTTGCGTTTTCTACCCAGTTGCAATCTGAATGTTTCCCCGTTCGTGAAATATTTCGGATGGGTTTCGGATCGGCTAGGGGTAAATGGCAAGCGGGTTTTTATGCTTCACACGAGGATTACTTATTTCGAACGCAATTTCATCAGGATTAAAATCGTCTTGAAACCGCCCTATCTTTTCTCTTTTCAATAAGCTTTACAGTTTCCCTAGAGACCCGCTAGTTCAGGAGATATGCCATTGTGAGGATACACCTTCGGAAACTTTGTGTGCCTTCAAAACACATATTTCCCTTCAAATGAGTGAAAGAGGAGCTCGGCTATCACTGATCGATTTGGTCCGAGTGTGCGCCGTGCATTACGCTCCTACGCAGAGGTGGTGGAAAGGTGTAAATTCTGATTTCAGGTGCTTTTATCCATGCAAGCAGATGTTTGTTTAGGGTTTGGAAAGGACAATACGCACGAATCTGTTTGAGACGTATTATTTAGTCATCTACGTACTTACGAGTTCATGCTATTAACTGATATTTATTTATTTATTTATTTATTTGATGTACGGCCAAG